AAAACAAAAATTATAAAATAGTTATGAATTGCTTCAAATGCTAAATGTAAAGGACCTATGGGATAAAAATGGGAAGAACTGAACACATGGAAAGATGCATCTTGTTTCTGGAATGAGACCGGGTTTGGGATTACTTGCTATTGCCCTGTCACCGTCTCTCAAAACCATGTAACATGCAATTAGGTTACAAGAGGCAGAATGCACACTGATATTGGCTTCACAGGCAGCAATCATGTAAACACTACGTCAGCAGAGAGATAAAGAGGGAAAGGGATCTGGGAAACTCCTAATTCCCTTAGTTAATTTTCTCTGTGATTTTTAGCCCTGTGCTTTATATTATAAAGAATTCTCATTCTTTAAAAAGAAAGATCTCAGGGGGCTTAGCACTCAATTTCTTCACTCACATTGCCTATCCCTCTGCCCTGCTGTGCAAGTTCCAGCAGTGGCCCTCCACCTAAGGGGAGATCACAGAGCTGCCTGGGGCCTGCTTGGAAAGGCTCCGATGCCAGCAGGTGACAAAGGTGCGCTGGCTCGCGGGGCCTGCCATGCCCTCTCCTGGGCACATCTCAGAGGGCTGAGCAGACTTAGACCAGAAATTAATTATAAACACTTCGAATCAAACCCCATTTCAGCACGAGGTGTTCCTGTGTCATCAGACCCGTGGATCAGGGTTTCCCATGGTCCCTAAACTCCATCTCCCTACTTGTTCTTTTCCCATTTCAGCACGAGGTGTTCCTGTGTCATCAGGCCCGTGGATCAGGACTTTCCCATGGTCCTGAACTCCCGTGGGCTTTGGCTTCACAGGCAGCAATCATGTAAACACTACATCAGCAGAGAGATAAAGAGGGAAAGGAATCTGGGAAACTCCAAATTCCCTTAGTTAATTTTCTCTCTGATTTTTAGCCTTGTGCTTTATATTATAAAGAATTCTCATTCTTTAAAAAGAAAGATCTCAGGGGGCTTAGCACTCAATTTCTTCACTCACATTGCCTATCCCTCTGCCCTGCTGTGCAAGTTCCAGCAGTGGCCCTCCACCTAAGGGGAGAGCACAGAGCTGCCTAGGGCCTGCTTGGAAAGGCTCCGATGCCAGCAGGTGACAAAGGTGCGCTGGCTCGCGGGGCCTGCCATGCCCTCTCCTGGGCACATCTCAGAGGGCTGAGCAGACTTAGACCAGAAATTAATTATAAACACTTCGAATCAAACCCCATTTCAGCACGAGGTGTTCCTGTGTCATCAGGCCCGTGGATCAGGACTTTCCCATGGTCCTGAACTCCCGTGGGCTCATCTCCCTACTTGTTCTTTTGCACTTACGGTTGATGAAGAGTAAGAAGATGCACTTCTTCACCGAGTAGTTGGCATTGGATATGTAGCCTTTCATTTTGAAGGCGAGTGTTTTATCCTCACACCCAACTTCTATCAATTCTCTGGTGGGAAAAGAGAAATTGTGAGGCTTTTGAACACATCAGAAAGTTCAGACATTATACAGAATGTGAATTGGAAAGATCAGGGCTCCTTCCCATAAACAGACTACCAAACGAGGGCCCGTGACTTGGTCTGCTGAGGTCCCCTGGGCCCACCATCAGTCCTGTCCATGTTTTGAAGCACTCCCGTGTATGCAAGCACTGCTCTCATCAGGGCTCCTTCCCATAAACAGACTACCAAACAAGGGCCCGTAACTTGGTCTGCTGAGGTCCTCTGGGCCCCCCATCAGTCCTGCCGTGTTGAAGCACTCCCGCTGTATGCAAGCCCTGCTCTAGTTGCTGGGACAGGACATGTGCTGAAACTTATTTATCTTAGTAACTACATCCCAAAGATGAGGTTCTTAAAGAACTGGTCTCTGCTGAATCCCTTTCTATACTGAATCACATGGGGCTCCCGTGTGGTGTCCTCACACAAGCCACACGCATTTTTGGCCCGAGGTGTGGGTGTGGGTGGGGATAAGGATGGGGGTGAGGGGACATCTTCCTAAGTGCGGTCCCTCTGCCTGGAAAACTTCTATTGTCAGCTCATTAGCTCCTCCTTGCATCTCAGGGATTACTTCCTCAAAGAGCCTTCTCTGACTGCCTCCCTCCATGGCCCCAAGAGTGTCTCCCACTGCCGTATATCCTTTGTAGCAACTAGCACAATCACTAATGAATGGCATAATTATTTTGTGTGTCTTTCCACTGAGTCTACGAGTTCTCTGAGGGCAGGTATCATTTCTGCTCTATTCCCTATGTATCTCTAGCATATAGTGCAGCACCCAGCCAATGGCAGACACACACTGAGCATGGCTGGCCATAGTGGAAGCTTCCTACACAGGGCAGTCACATGTGCTCTGGGTCTGAGTACAGGGTAGAGCTGGCAGTGTTTCCCATGCACAGCGAACCCACAAACCCTTTCTTCCCAAAATGTCTCTAGAGGCTGGTGTCCTGGAGACACGCTTTGGGAACCGCTGCTCTGCGGGAGTTCTCATCTCTTAAGATGCCGGCAATGTCCTAACAACGAACACTGAGGCTTCTCGTTGGTCAAGGAGCTCTAAAAGTTTCACCAGAAAGTACACTCTCATTTAAAAGTATACTAGATTACTTTTAGCTCTGGGAGCACAAACTTTAAAACAATTAATTCATCACCACATAATTAGTAAGAAAAAGGTAATTAAAAGTAAATTGACTGCTCCCTAGTTAGAAGTTTGGTTTTGCTCCAAGAATGAGTAATTGGTCCTTCAAAGCGGAAAACGGGGTTCTGTGACTCCTGCTGCTGCTGTTACGATTGTTTGAAAAAGGGGAGTCAGAGGCTGTCTCCTTCACCTCGGTATCCCTAGCACCTGAGGCACACTTGGCATAGAGAGAGAAGGATGTTGGGATTTTTTCGCTCAGATTACGACACTGGCACTTGGACTTTGTACACTCCTGGGATGCTGGCTGGGTATGTGTGACGGACACGGTGGTTTGGGTGGTGGGGGAAAGGAGGGCCG